TATTTCCTTCTCTTGTCTTATTGCTCTCGCTAAGACTTCCAATACAATACTGAATAAGAGAGGTGAAAGTAGGCATCCTTGCCTAGTTCCTATTCTTAAAGGGAATGCCGCTGGCTCTCAGGTTTGCATAAATACTTTATGTTGAAGAAATTCCCCTCTAATCCTATTTTGTTAAGTGTTTTAATCAGGAAAGGGTGTTGGATTTTTCCAAAGGCCTTTTCTGCATCAATTGATAGGATCATGTGGTTCTTTTTCTTTGCTTTTTTAATGTGATGAATTACATTGATTGTTTTAAGAGTCATATTTAACTAAACAACATCTAACAACAATGACAGGCTGGTGCCATGAAGTTGAGGGATTCCAAGATACCACTGATAATTTTCTATAAGGCAGACTGAACACTAAAGAGGAAAACCCGAGTTCTGTGTTCTAGTTGGTTTACGCTACTGAAAGACTTTAGGCAAAGAGATTTAGTCTTGGCTCAGGTTTTAGTTTTTCTCCCGGTGAAATGAGAGGGTTCGGTAAGGGGATAATCATGATTCTTTTCAATACTAACATTCCACTGGGCTATATTTGAGCAACTTGGAATTTTGTTAAGAATTTGTATAAAGATAATACCATCCAAAAAGAAAAATAGTAAATTATTTCTATTTAAAGCATGAAGCTCAGATTACAGGCATTTAATGAATGCTAAATAAAACATGAGGGACTGGTTAATGGTTTCTCTATATACTGTTTGTGAAAATTCTACAGTATGTACACTTACGGCAGGCATGATTTCTGGTTACATGCAGATAACACAAACTTGCTTGATGGCACATAACAATAACATAAAGTATTTAATGAAAACTTAAAAAATATGTCAGAGAAAAGATATTTTTTTTAAACAACTTCAAACATTGTACTTGAAATACTCACTTTTTGCACCAGATGTAACAAAATTTGAGAACTAAAATGATGTCCAGAAATATTGGTGCTATCAAGCACAGCAAACCCAACACTGAATCCTAATCCAATTCCAATCTGGTTTATCTCTGATTCAAAACTGTATTAAGAAAATTTGGGTTTGCTTTTTTATTTTAAAATCTTAAATATGTAATATTAATTCTCTTACTGATATTATAAAAATAACAAATAGGTATGTCTTGCCGAGGGTGAAAGCAAGTTTCTCCTTGGAGGTGAGGATTTTGAAGCTCGGTCTCATATACTTTGCACACATAACAACAACATACTGTATTTAATGAAAACTTAAAAAATATGTCAGAGAAAAGATGTTTTTTTAACAACTTCAAACAGTGATCACTCCAGGACTGGAGAAATAAGCTTCCAGATATAGGTTCAAAGAACTGAATCATAGAACTGACCAAGAAAGACCAGTTCTGGGAGAAGGACATCATGCTCAGAAGGATGGAGGGACAGCAAAGAGAGGAAGACCTCGGATGAGATGAACTGATAGATACAGTAACTGGGGCAATGGTTGGTGTGTCAGAATCAGCGAGACTGGCTCAGGACAGGTCAGCGTTCAGAGCTGCTGTACACAGGGGTCGCTATGGGTCACACATAACAACAACAATGGATTATCAAGGAAACATAAAAACTCACTTAAGAGTTATAACCTTTTTTTTCCCAATTTTTTTTTAAATGTTGGAGTAAAATATACCTGAGCGTCATCTCCTTACTACTTACCTGAGTAAGAAGCATAAAAGCATTATCTGCCCTAAGATGCTTGGTGAGAAATTCCACACAATGTGCTTCCAAGGCTGGGACTGCGTACTTCTTAGCTGTATAAAGAGTGGTCATAACTGTTTCTGGACCAATCTGAACTTCATCTGAATAGAGAAATCTGGAAAGCAATCAGGAAACTATTGTTAGCAATGTTTTGGATAAGTCATTCACCAACATTAAACTGTTGCAGATTATTTCCAAAGTTAAAGAGCAAACTAAGAAATAATGTGACACCAGCATCAGGTTTCCCAGTGTACAGGGCCATTTGCACATCATCATTTCATCTTCAGGCTCAATTCTGAGAGGTAGGTAGTCTTTTCATTTCGGAGTCAAGTGAGATTAAGCCAAGATCACATGACACACACATGTCTCGAAGTCAAGCCTTTAGCTTCTTCTACCACGCAGTCTCATAACCACTTTTCCCTCCCTCATTTACTAAATTTATAGGAAGTTGGCATATAGATCTCAACATGCTAAAACATTAATTTCCTAATGAGGTACCTTGAACAACTTTTCATTGCTATTCCAGAATTATCAAATTGAACACAGACTGGAGAGCACTGGGATTTGGGGGGACTAAAGTAATTTAATAATACGTCAAATGACTCCATATGGCTATGTGCTTTGAACTTTTTGGTTCCATTTTCGCTCAGAATACTCAGTTCAGTACTGCTTTCTTCCTAGCTGATCTCTTCTAATCACCAGGTCATCAGTTTCACAAAACTACAGATAAAGAGAGGCTCTTAGTGAAGATAAAGGCAATTCTTGTTGAATTTTGCCTATCAACTTTAGGCTCCAGTCCTGGCTCCTCACAGACCCTCTGTACTTACTGCTCACTTCCTGGTAGTTGTTGTTAGGTGTTGTCAAGTTGATTATGACTCATAGCAACCCTGTGAACAACAGACCTCACAGAATCCTGTCCTGTGGCATCCTCATCATCTCGGACACACCCAAGCCCACTGCTGCAGTCATTCTGTCAACTCTTCTCGCTGAAGGTCGTCCTCTCTTTCACTGACCCTCCACCACCAAAGACAAAGTTTCATCATCTTTGCCTCCAAGGAGCACTCTGGCTGTATTTTTTCCAAGACATATAGACATATATGTCCATTTTGAAGACTATCGGGATCCTGAATAAGATATTATTGTTGTTGTTGTATGCCACTGAGTAAAAGCCAACCCATAGCTGACCCTCCAGAGGCAGTAAATCACATAGCAAGAGACTGGTCATCCTTGTCCCATGGAACAGTTGGTGGGTGTGAACTGTGTGTTGTTGGGATGGCAGTAGAGATGGAGAAAAGACTGCAACTGTTTCTGCTTGGGTCCACAACTAATACAATGGGTTCCAGTAGTCAAGAGAACAGGAGATGTGTTGCATTGAGCAAATTGGTTTGAGGACTAAGGTGTGCTTGATTCACACCACGGTCAGACCATCCCCTGCTATGCTTCTGAAAGCTAGACAATGAATAAGGATGACAGAAGAAAAATGCCTTTGAACTGCGGTGCTGGAGAAGAGTACTGAATAGTCTATGCACTGTCAAAGGAACGAACAGATAGGTCTTAGAAAAGGTATAGCCAGAGTGCTCCTTGGAGGCAAGGACAACAAAGCTTCATCGTGCATACTTTGAGCATGTTGCTAGGAAAGGCTATTCCTTGGAGAGGGTAATCATGCTTGGAACAGTTAGGGAATGGCAAAGCCAGGCACAGGGTAGGACAGAGTTCAGATCTGTTGTCCATAGGGTCGCAATAAGTTATACTTGTTTTGACAGCACTTAGCAGGCCACTACAACTCAAATATGACATTAGAAAGTAGTATGTATTTCAAAGACACTATGCTTACTTTCCCAGGACCCAAGGTACTAAAAAAAAAAGAAAAAAAGAAAATCTGTTAGTTTTTCTGGAATCCTTTACTACACTGAAATGAGCAAAGTTCTCTATCATATCCCTACTATCTCTCAACTCTCTCATTCCTAAATATACCCCAAAATCTCAAACTCACTGACATCTAGTTGATTCCAACACAAGACGACTGCATCTTTCTAAGGGGGCAGATCTGAATGGCCAGCAGTGCTCTCAGCCTGAGGGGTGGCAGCACAGCCCATTACAGACTAGACTATCAGAACTTCTAAGTCCCAAAATCATTACCCAAGATGTAGACCTAGCCTGTTACACCCCTAACTGCCTCTTAGTACATGACTACCCTTAAACTTCATTTTATTTCATTTTCATACTCTCCTATTTCACCTTCAAAGTGAGGCTTATTGTTTTCCTGAATGATCTTATACTAAAATATTCCTTTTGCAGACTCTAGTCAGTTAACTGTTACTGTCCTCATAATATTCACTTAGCATTCATTATATGCCACACTTTGTAACAAAGATAAGGAGTTAAAAACCAAGTATCCGGAGATTTCATAGTTGGGAGGAAGAAGATAAGACCAAGGGAAAGAAAACAAATAATTGTTGAGTGTCTGCCATAAGGCAGATACAATCTCATTCAATCCTCCCACAAAGAAGGCAGGGTTGAGACCTCCATTTTAAAGAGAGCTGTTTATCATATTCCCCCATGTCTGAGCCTCTGACGGCTTCCAGGACTGTCTATGTACCATAAGTCCAACTGGAAGGGGGCTTTTAATTGCTTAGACTCGAGGAGACTTGGAATTGAACCCCTCCCATCATTTCCTAGTAACTTTAAGCAGCTATTGTCATTCCATACCTATCTGAAAGCAGATGAGAATACGCAGCAATTTACAATGGTGTGGAGAGAAGAATATAAGTTAAAACACAAAATGTCTAGAATGATGATAAAGAATTAGCCTTAGTAAGTGTTGGCTATTTATTTTTGGACTATTCCATATTTGTTCGATCATTTTCCTCTGTATTTTGGAAGATTTCCCTGACATTAGCTTCTGGTCTTTCAGTGGTAGGGAAGCAACTCATTATTTCTTAGAAGTAAAAAGGTTCTCAAATCCAAAAATCACCTTGTTCATATTTCCACTACATAATTCTTTCAATCCTATTTAATTGCTATAACATTGTAATACTGGAAAAAGCCTAACCAAGCCAAGGTTTTAAAAAAGATAATTAAGGGTCAGAACATGTCATTGGCTTGTATTTTAAAGGGAAACTTTTTGTTCTGATACATGATCTTAAAGGATATCATCATAGAAAAAGGATTATGTCATCAAATCACTTTTTCTTCCCAGTGTTTAAAAAAAAAAATTAAGACAAAAATGTGTCCCTGTGAGCTGTGCTCTACTTGATGACATCTAACAACAACCACCCTAAATAAATTAAATTAGAATCCACATTTAAAAAGCCAGTGAAAACGTAATTTTATAATAGGAAGCATTTAAATAAAATAAAACAAAAATACCCCCTCAAATCTGTGGCCATGAGGTCAGTTCCTGCTCACAGTGACCCTAGGTGAGTTTCAAACCTTGTAATCACTACAGAAGCAGACTGCTGCCATCTTTCTCCTGTGAAGTGGTTGGGGGGCTCAAACCAATTACCTTTCAATTAGCCACCCAGTGCTAAACCACTGTGCCACCAGACCCTTTAGAAAACACCTGCAGATCATTAAAAAAAAATTAATATTACTGTTGATTAAGTTAACTGTATTCAAATCATTTCCTGAAGGGCTATGTCATGCTAGAGGAGCCCTGGTAACATAATAGCTAATCACTGGCAACTTGCTAATTAAAAAGTCAGTGGTTTGAGCCCAACATCCACTCAATGGGACAAAGACAGGGCAGTCTGGTTCTATAGAGACTTACTATAGTCTTTGAAATCTTACAGGGACATTCTACTCAGTCCTAGAGAGTCTCTATGAGTTAGAATATACTTGATTGGGTGAAATGTAATATAATGGGTGTTTGTTATATAATGCTAGACACCGTGACAAGTTCTAGAAATGAAAATATTAAGAAGTTTTACCCATAAAAATTTAAGTTTGGTATTTTGCACAATCAATGACTTATTCATAGCAAATACATTTTTTAAGAGGCATAAACGCAGGTTATATACCTGGATTTCACCTGATGGCATGCATAGGAATCAGATCGATTACATATGTGGAAAGAACCGCTGGA